TTATCTCAGTTTCCTTGAAGCTCTGTATATTAAAAAGATATTCAGCTGACAGTGGGGAAATTTTCTCTCAGTTTGAATTTGGTTGCAGTGCAAAGAAGGAATTCAGGGGAAACAGTAAGATTTCTCACCCTCTCCATAATTATCTTCACAGCAAGTGGAATTATCAGGATGCTGAAAAATATGCAGGTACGTGAAAGCTCTTTCTCAGAATTTTCTTGCTTATACTGTTCTGATGTTTAATTGTTCAAAATTCTGTTCTTCGCCAGGGAATCAGAAAGCCCAGCTCCTTTTATACCTGCCAACGGAGGTTTTACTTTCTGATAAGAATAATGGTAATGCTTATAATAATGTCCATGGTGATGATGATATGAAGAGTATTAAACAGGTAGACATGGATTTAGAGGGATAAAATGGATTCAAAAGGGTATCCTGATATCAAGGCTGTTCAGTTACAAACATTTATCTACTGAAATGTTGTAAAACTTGATGCTCAGCTGCAAAGCAGCCTGTAGTTTCTAAGAAGGCATAGCATCAGTGAGGTTAAGATTTACAGAATCAACCTGAGAGCAAAGCCACCTCTTCAGACACCTTCAGCTGAAGATGCTTGCCCATATTTGTGGCTGGAAACATGCATATAGTGGGACTGCACTGAAAAGTAAAGTGTTATGTTTTTAAGTTTCAGTATCAAATGAAGAACACTTCATTCCTAATTGCTTCCTAACAGCATGTTTGATCTGGTTGCATTGTCTTCTAGTTTTTCTTAATGGCCTCCTTTCCAGGGATACCTTTTGGAATTTTCCTACTCAGTGTCTGTGCTGTTGACATTGGCCTTATACAGGTGACCTTTGCACTTTTACTTCTGGAGACTGTATTTAACTGGATAGAACTAAAGTTCATTTTGTTAATTGTGGATATAATTGTCAAGTTCCTTTTTTTGTTTGTATAGCAGTAGTTTTCCAAGTTTTGTGGGCTGTCTTACATAGCACCTGGTGGTAACATGTCCAGTGGGTTATCCTCCCTTTCTTTCTGCTTCATTATATTTCTGTGAATTGTTCTTGGTCTTCAACTCACCACAAGCAACTAATGTTTTTCATGACAGACTCTTCCTCTCCCCTTCAGCAGCATAAACAATCACTGCCAAAGAATGCGAATTAAGCTTTGTTTTCTGAACTTGCAGAAATGTTGCAAAAGATTCTGCAGTAAAAGTAAGTCCCCATTAGCAATGTCAGATTCTTATTTTCTAAGTGGTCAAAGATAAACATAATTATACAAAGGCTTTTTCCAGATGAGACTGTGTATTTCCTTCCCTGAAATGGCATGTGTATGCACATTATATTTTTGCTTCTGATACTTAGGTTGAAATCTATTTGGTCAGAAAATGTCCTGCCAAAATGCAGACTTATTTTCCTCCTCTCTTTGTCCCCTGGCTTGTCCTTCACAGGCTGTGCTCACAGCTTTGCTTCTGAGAGGATGTTCTGCTGACTTCTCTCCTACTTTCTGCTTCCCAGGAGAGGTGATTTGCTAGCAGTATGTGACTGAACTGGGTTAAGGAAGAGTGTACATTTTGCGTAGGAGCACCCAAAGATGAGATGATGTTGCCCAACAAAACTGAAAGTTTGGTTTCCAGTGTGTAAGCCATAGGCTTGGAATATCTGAAGGTCTTTTAATACTTCAGTACTGCCAAAGAAAGTTGGAATCTGGAGATTTGTGTTTAATGGTCTAATTATCCAACTCTCTGGTGCTTGTGTGGGTCTCTATAATGGTGCAAAATGACAGTAGGATGTAACCTGTATGAGTTTAAACACCTATCTACAGTACTGAAAAATAGCGAGTCAGCTTGAGGTTGCTCTCAGCCCATGTTTCATGTGCGAATGGGAGAATGAACTCTGTTGAAAAGTCTGCTGGATACATACAGATATCTTTCTGGCTTTCTGAGAGGGCCTTCAGACAATGCTAATACTGGCATCCACAAGCACACAAGAATTATCATGAATCAGAAATATTTCAGCCCTGTATGTTCTGAATGTTAAGGGAGACAATCCTCCCTTGCCCCCCCAGAAATAAAAAAAAAAAGAAAAAAAAAGAAAAGAGAAAAGCAGGAGAGCTGTTTAGAGATCAGAATATGGTGCAGAAAGATATAGAAGTTTGGGGAGAAAGTATAGCCAACTATGCAAGAGATGAAACTGCGACCACAAAGCAAGCCACCAGGACCTCAATGAAATGGAACTGTAAGTAGCCTGATGCAAATGTAGCCTGTTTATTTTTCAGTTACCTATGTAAAAATAACTCTTTATGTACTAGATCCAGCAGTGCATTACGAAGAACTAAGTGCTGAAAAACTGGAAGTGCTAGCTTGCAGGAATTAGTGGGCACAACTAGCAGTGATAATTCTAGTGTAGAATGACCAGGGAACAGCAACACAGCAACTGAATTATGAGAATAAGACTCTGTGGGCTGGGAATCAGAAAGCAAACAAGACAGAAGAAATCATGCATCACTGAAAAGTTGTCGGTAAGTGAGAGAATAGGTTCTGTATGGCAGAAGTGTCACCACTTGCCAAGCTGGACAGCTGATCATATCTGTCGTCTCTAAATCCCTTTGCAGTTCTTCCCATTTTCTCTTTGACTGCCAAGATGCTAGCCAGGATCCCAAGCTGCTTGCTCAGGGAAAGGATCTTCACTGCTATTGTTAACAGGCACAAATGAGAGATGAACTCTTCTCTACTTCACTGTGGCCTGAGAGCCCTTTTTGACTTTCATAGCTGTGCTGCTGCCTATGTCTGAGAAAGGGTGAAGAACCTAATTGACTTCATTGAAATTGAAGAATATTTTCCTTTCAAGAGATTTCAATAGATCAGGAGTTTGATAGAAATAAAAATGCTAAGGAGGATACTTGCCACAGACTTTAACAACAACTTTAGGCAGTGAGACAGAGAGTCTCCTCCTACTTTGAACTTTGCTCATTTCACTCAAGTTCACCATACCATCTTTCTAACTGTGATTCAGAAGTATTTAGCATTCACAAGGAAAGGCTCAATATGTCTCCAAGTGATGCCCAGACTGAAAGATTTTTGACACTGTCCTGTAGGTAATTTGGAAGACGTGGTTGACCTATGTTGTTTGTGGTCAATATGGAAAGTCTTTACTGAATCACAGAATCACAGAATCGTAGGGGTTGGAAGGAACCTCCAGAGATCATCGAGTCCAACCCCCCTGCCAAAGCAGGTTCCCTACACCAGGTTGCACAGGTAGGCATCCAGGCAGGTCTTGAACATCACCAGAGAAGGAGACTCCACCACCTCCCTGGGCAGCCTGTTCCAGTGCTCTGTCACCTCACTGTAAAGAAGTTCTTGTGCATGTTTGTGTGGAACTTCCTATGCTGCAGCTTGTGTCCGTTTCCCCCTTGTCCTGTACCACTGAAAGGAGACTGGCCTCACCACTATGGCCCCCCACACCTCAGATATTTATAAACCTGGATTAGATCCCCTCTCAGTCATCTTTTCTCAAGGCTAAATAGACCCAGTTCACTCAGCCTTTCTTCATAGGAGAGATGCTCCAGGCCCTTCACCATCTTCGTGGCCCTCCGCTGGACTCTTTCCAAGAGATCCCTGTCTTTTTGTACTGGGAAGCCCAGAACTGGACGCAGTACTCCAGATGAGGTCTTACCAGGGCAGAGTAGAGGGGGAGGATCACCTCCCT